ACATAGATACATAAGAATTTCCTTTCTTTTTAAGACAATCATATTCCATTATCTTTACATACCATTTTGTTTGTCCATTCTTCCATCGGTGGACACTTGGCTTGCATCCACCCTTTACGCAGTTGACTTCAATTACCTGTACTTCATCCAGATAGAGAAATGGAGTTTTAAATCTACACGTACTTGGGGGGAGGAGGGGACACTACACCATGAGATGGGAGAGGGCAAGTACAACACACAGGAGATGTTACCACCCTATTAAATATACTTTGCCATATTTAATAGCTAATATATACTTATGGTAGCAAATTTGGAAAATATAGAAATGTGTCAAAACGCAGTAAAAACTGCCTCCAATTCTTGTACCCAGAGATAAGTCAGGTGATCTATATATATATAGAAAAAAGATTAGAAAAGAAGGCTAGGACATGGAAGCAACCGAAGTGTCCTACGATAGATGATTGGCTAAAGAAACTGTGGTACATGTATACAATGGAATATTACTCAGCCATAAGAAGAGATGAAATACTGCCTCGAGATAATCATGCTAAGAGAAATAAGCCAGAAAAAGTTGAAAATCACATAATAGCACTTATACGAGGGATACAAACCTAAAAGCAACAAGTGAGCAAGACAAACAGAGACTTGTGGACATAGCCTATAGACTAGTGGTTACTAGTGGAGTTGGGGAGGAGGCGGAGGGAGATAGACAGGGTAAAGGGGGTCAAATATAGGGGGATGGGGGAGGGTGAAGTGGGTAAAGGGGATCGAATATACGGTAGCTGAAGGAAACTGGACTTTGGGTGGTAAACACACAATAGAACATACAGATGTCAAATTATAATGTACCCCCGAAAATTATATAATTGTATTAACCAATGTTACTTCAATAAACTTATAAAAAAAAAGAACTCTCAAAAACATAAGATCAAATGCAAATAGCAAAGTAGAAAGTTATGTCTAATAGAATACCATTTATGCAATTTTTTAAATGTTCAAAACATTAGAAGCATTCAAATATATGCAAGTATTAAATACATGGACAGAAAGCCTATACACTTAGTTGAGAATAGTTATCTCTTAAAAAGAAAAAAAAAGTGGTTCAGGATGGTCAAATAGTACTTTCATATAGGCTTGTAATAGCAGTTGCCTTAACACCTCCATTTCTCACCACCCCAGATGCTGGGTACACTCACCTCCCCTACAACCCAGTAACCAAGAAGGCTAATGCTCAGCAGTAGAGGCTCCAAGGCCTGGCCCAGTGCTAGGAGTGCCAAAGATTCTTACTGGTTGATGTTCTATCCTACTTGCTAAATTAATTTATATCATCCATCCCAAGAGTGAAGAATGGTATCAAAGGTTACAAAATGGTCTTCAGCTGTTATCAGTGATATTTTCATTCTTAAAAGAATGAGTAAAGCAAATATGGGGGGAAAATGCCAAATTTAAATCTGTGTGGTAGGTACATGGGTGTTATATTGCTCTGTACTTTTCCATGTTTGAAATTAAATACAAAAATAAAAATTTAGAAACATAATCCAATTGACTTTTAAAATCACAAAATACAAGGACACTATCAGATGACAAGAGGAATTTTATGGTGCTGTATTACAGTTTTAATTCAATTTGGATTTTAACATATATTAGTCTCAAAGAAAACATGTTATTTTTAAATTTATTTGTTGCAAACTCAAGTTTTTTTTGTTTTATAAATAATTTAAAATAAAGTTCATAGTTAAATGAGGACATGTTGAAAATAAGATTATAATTATTAATATAAAATTCATAATTTTATACTGTACCAATATTAAAATATATTTTTATCGTTTTCTTACTATATAATGTGAAAAATGGCAAAATAATTTTTAAATCCCTGGAAGGATTTCTAAGCATTTATGTACTTAAAAGGAATTCAACTGAAAGACTGAGCACTGGCTTTTGCATTATCATTTCCCCCATCTTTATTAAGGTATAATTGAAAATGAAAATTATATATATATAGTATGCAGTGATGTTTTGATATATGTATACATGGTGAAATAATCCCCACAATCAAGCTAATGAACATATCCATCACCTCACATAGCTACCATTTTCTTTTATTCCTTTCTTATTTGTGGTGACAACACTTAAGATCTACCCTCTTAGCAAATTTCAAGTATACAATATTGTTAACTATAGTCACATTGCTGTACAATAGATCTCCAGAACTTATTTATCTTGCATAACTAAAACTTTGTACCCCTTGACCAACTTCTGCCCATTTCTCTCTCCCCTCTGGAAACTACCATTCTATTCTCTGCTCTTGTGAGTTTGACTGTTTTAGATCTTACATATAAGTGAGATCATGCATTATTTGTCTTTCTTTGTCAGGCTTGTTTCACTTAGCATAATGTTCTCCAGGTTCATCCATATCAATGGCAGGATTTCCTTCTTTTTAAAGGCTGAATAATATTCCATTATGTATATATGCACTACATTTTCTTTATTCATTCATCCCATTGACTTACTTCCTTTTAATGTAATATATTTCCTTTCCTAGCAAAGAAACTAGGTTTGTTGTTCTCATTTAAAGCCAATAGGAGGAGGAAATAAACCACTCCCCTAGATTCCCATTCTCACTGATTCTACAAGCTAAAGATTAGGTGGATCTTTCCATCAGTCTTAAAAACATGAATGGAAGAGACATCATCTGATCCAAGAGGATATTTAATTTCCAGAAAGATTCTCATTAGGGTCTAGTCCTCATAAAACAAAGCTGTAAACCAAGAGATAACATGGTACACTAGAAGGATGATGGGAGTCAAACTAGTTCTGCCCTTTATATCTCTGTGGCATCTCTCGTGTTCAGTTGCCCAATCTGCAAAATAATGGTGTTGGATCAGATTAACTCAGAGGCCCTTAATAGTCTATTTTTATATTGTTTTGGTGTTGTGGGCCTCAGTGAAATGTCAGAACCACCAAAAAGGCAAAAATAGGTAAAATCCACTTTGAGGTTCAATTAGAGTTAGATCTTTCACTGCTCCTTGTTCTAGTCAAGTCAGGAATTAAAAGATATGAGATCATTTGATCTCATGACTTGCATTATTCATTAGCCACGGGTATTGGCATAGGCAAGTGGACAAAGAGAACTGGACTTTCTTTTCTCAATTGCTCAGATTATTTCACCTATACCTTCTGAGAATTGGGAAAAAATAGCCACAGTACAACTCACCACTGCACTATTTTTCAGAGATGTGTGAGCTGATAGATGCCTGACTTCTGTTGGCTTCGCCTCGTAGGGCCCTTTGCTTTGGCTAGTAGTGAGCTTTTCTGGACCTGAGTGGTTTAAAAATTGAAGAGAACCTGACATGCTTGACGTAAAAAGCAGCATGAAACAGATCTAGTAATTGTGAACCAAGGTGCTTCCAGGGGCAGTTTGTATATTGTGGTCAGGAAGAGATACTAAGAACTGCCCAGTGTCAACGGCAATGTCTTAAAGAAAGTTTTACTTCAGATCCTTAAAATTTAGCTAGATCTCAGAGATACTAAGAACTGCCCATTGAAACTTGCTTGGAGACAAGGCAAATCTAGTTTCTGAAGATAGTATCAAAAGTTTAAATTGTAACTGATCGAAACAGCTTGCTAATGTGTACTCATATCATACTAAATGCTACTTGTGAATCATATCTTTAGACACCTAACTTGCAAATTTCCTTTATTTTCAATTTCTCAATCTATTTGAAACTCTAACTATATCCTTCGATTCAGCCAAAATATAAAAGTCTAACATGTTTATAATGTAGCATGTGATAGCTCATAGTGTTCTTTCTGCCCTTGGAGGAACATAAATGTAACCTCACATTACAATTTTTATGAATTCAATTTCCCAAGAACTTCAGTACTGCCTTGAATCCATTTCTCCTACCCAGTTCAATTTCATATATTTCTTTTCTAAAGTGAAAATAAAATAGAGAAAAGTCATCTTCCAAATGAATGTCCATATATTTTATTAAGGAATAAGATGGAGATTTCTTAATTAAGATCATGGAATGTATTCTGGTAAAAAATAAAAGGGAGAGCATTTAGAAACTGTGCACCAGGGGAGCTACATGTTAGTAGGGTATTTCCTTTTGTGGGTGGTATCTTCCAGAAAACTGAACAGTCCCTGAGAGGAATTTTCATAAGAGAAAAAAAAATGAGGATGGTATGATTTGAAGAACATGGAATAGAAAGCATGAAGTCTTTGTTTTCTTCATTAACATTGAAATCCATTTTTAAATTTCTCTATTCATTCTAGATTTGTTGATATTGAAGGCAATTATTGAAGTGCCAATATCTCTAGTGAGACTTTAGTTTCTTCCTCAGCTTCATTATTTGATACCTAAAATCATTACTATATCAATACTTTTTCTAAAAACCAAAGAACTTAAGTTTTGGTGAATGAAAATGGAGAATAAACTGCTCCTCAGTCCTGGAACAAGAATGATACTAGAGATAAATACCTTCTTCAGAATCCTATCCCTTACTTTTATTTTTATTTCCTTACCATTTCATGAATCTTATGTTCTATTAGAAACAATATAATGACTCTTACTCATATTGCTAAGAAACAAGAAGCTCTGTGGGCCCAAGTGTATCCCCAGAAGCATGAATATTCAAATCTTCCAGTATCAGTTCAAGTTATCACCTCCTTCCTTGATTCCTGCAAGGACTTTCTCTCTCCAACTCTTATAGTATGTGATCTATACTTTTCTTTTGATTATTATATCATTCATTATATAAAAATCTTTTCTCTCTACTATGTTAAATATAACTAAAAGCAGGATCTATTTTGATTTATCTCTATCATCTCATACTAGGTGGAAAAAATACAGATTAAGTAACTAAAGAACACAATGGGAAAAAATAAACTCTTAATACAAAGTTAACTTATATAGATGATAGTACTATTCTCCAAACTAACCTTAAAAAATATACTAAAAATGTATTAGGAGTCTCAAGTAAAAATAAACAAAATACAGCAATGACATAATTATTCTGTGATTTTAGGTTTGAACATGACTATTTTTAAATACAGATTTATCAATACTCAAATTAGAAAGATATGCTATGCTTCATTTATTAGAAAGTAAGAACCATAAATGGTTACCATATCAGGCACAAGAGAAAATTCCAAATCCAACCTCGATTCCTGGAAAAAATCTGTATTGTCCAATGTGAGTGGCTTCCCTGCACAATCTGTCAATAGAATGTTTGCACATCAAAGAAGCTGTTGCTAGGCGAATGCATCACAGAGGTCCAAGGAAGGTACAAAAGGACCTCCTAAAGTGGTACAGTAAGACCTTATTTCTCTAATTAATGAAGTGAAAACGCAAAGCGGTTTCATCAAGCATTAGTGAACTTAAGAACTCTTAGGAAAGTGATACCACTAAAAGTAAATATTCTAGCAAAATGAAACTCATATTTTGGATTTTTTTTGAGAATTTCTTAGTATAGGTCAAATTTTTATATTCCAATACCTTCATCAAAGCAGATGTACTTTGAGAAAAGTGATGATTCCATCTACTATTCCTAAAGCAAAGATGATTTGTCTGAAAAGCGGTATCCTATTCTAGGGAAATACTTTTATGCCAGAGAAAATATGTCTTTATTATGTATTGTTGATACCAGAATCACTAGCATTACACTTCAAATATCATCTAACCTAGTAGTTGTCAACTCTATCTGCGCATTAGAATCTCAAAGAAAACTCCAAAAAATACTGAGACCCCAACCCTATCCCAAATTCTGACTTAATTGATCTATGGTGGAGCCTAGGCTACACAGGTAGATCTAATGTGACTTTAGGGTTGAGAACAACTGTCCCACTATCTTCATTTATATAATACAAATGAGGCAGGGAGAAATGAAGTGATATTTGTAGGAACAAGAGTAATAGTTAATAACTAAACTAGGAAAATAAACATTTTTTCCTCTAAAACTAGATTTTAAAAATTACATAAAAAAAAAGGAATATAAGTATGACCAAGAAAGGAAATTTCTTATAAAGCTTACATTCTGGTGAAAAAAGAATATAGTAAACAAACATATAAATAAAATCATGTTAGTGATAAATGCTGTGAATAAAATATGCTAATGTGTGAGTTAATGAGGGGGCAACTTTTGATCGTGTAATCAAATTGGGACTGTTTTGGATATATTCACATAAATTAATTGTATTATATCTTTTATTGAATAACCCGCCTTTATCATTTAACAATCTTTGAAAGGTATCTTACAGTATAGCTACAGATGTTCCTTGAACAGCACCTATCCTGACATTTTTTTTACTATTGAAATCAGTGCTGTAAGAAACACTTTTATACATATATCTTTGTGTATATGTGTAAATATTACCCTAGGATAAATTCTAGAAGTGGAATCACAAGTTCAAAGAAAGCACACATTTAAGGTTTTTATAGCTATTATCAAATTACACCCCCGAAAAGCTTGAAAAATGGAGCATCTGCAAAGAGGACACATTTTTTCAAGAAACTGCCATTAAGAGCATTTGAATAGAGATATTTTGTCTTTCTATTCACTGTGAAATGATCAATTTTCAGTCTATCTTATTTGACAAATCTGCAACATATTACAGAATTAATTACCTCTTTTCCTGTGATAGTTTCTTCATCTGTCTTCTCAGGCTGCATGCTCTCATGGTTTTTCTGAGAGCATTGGACTACCCTTTTTAATCTTCCCTCCTGGTTTTTCATCTCCTTGAATTCTAAACATCGAAGTGTCCTAGGGATCAGTCTTTGGTCCTCTTTCTACCTACACCCATTCCTTTCATGGGCTCTCATCTAATCTCATGGATTTAAATATCAACTCTCATTTCTACGAATACTGCTTAGACGTTTGCATGTCTAAGAATCATCTAAAAACTTTAGAAACTGAATTAAAATTAAAAACCTGTTCCTTCCATAGTGTTTTGTAATCATAGCTCCATCTTTCCAGCTGCTCAAACCAAATTCTTGCTTTCTTTCTCTTACACCCTAACTTTCTTCATTCAGGTTTCTGCTTAAGTCAGATTCCCCAGAGGAGCAAGCCCCTTATCATATTTCTAAAACAGCACTCTCTTAGCTCCCACCACCATTCCCTACCCTCTTAGTTTGCCTATTTTTTTTATAAACAGCATGCCTTAATATCCAAAATTAGAGTATATATTTCTTTAATTGACCACTCTCTCTTCCACCAGAATATTAGCTGAGGGCAGAAACTTTGTTGGTTCACTATGGTATCTCTTAGTGTCTTCTACTGTTGGCACAGAAGCCACTCAAAAACTATTTACTCAATGAATGAATGAATTGGTTAGGTCACACAGAAGTATTACAGTTGAAAATCATGCTGTTGGGGTGGTAAAGGCAATACATTTAGAGATGAAACATCCAGTTTGGGGCCTAATTCAGGCACAGCTTATGCAGCTTTGGGCAAGTTATCCTTCAAAGACTATTTCTTTATTTGTAAATTGGGACTTATGACATCTTCCTCAGCAAAAGGCTGAAGTGGTCACTATCTGCTTGGTATAAGCCACAAAAATTTCACTCCCTGTAATTTACCAGGAAAATTTGCTTCAATTTTCCCATTAATTTCACTTGTTCAGGTATAACCTTATGTGAGGGCATGTGTTCAGAGATCCTTATATCGTTTATATGTTTACTTCTAATGTGTCACTTACAATACTTAAGAATGGTAAAGTAAAAGCAATTAAAAGACAAAAATTCACCAGAGTCTCTATTATGGTGATGGTTACACAACTCTGTAAATATACTAAAAATCACACTTAAACTGGGTGAATTTTATAGGGCATAAATTGTATTTCAATAAAACTATAAAACAAGAGTCTCATATATTAGCTACTGTAAAATATCCTCAGAATTTAGGAATAAGGCAAATGCCACCTAACAAATGCCCAATAATTAAAAAATTGAGCAAATTCAAAAGATAAGCTCTGCCATTACTTGAAACACGCCACCCTACAGATATTTGGTCAATTCCAAAGCAACCTGAACAAAATTACTACCTCCAAAAGGTAACTTCACTCCCAGGTTCATTTCAGAATTATTCACAATAGCCAAGACATGGAAACAACATAAGTGCCCATCAATGGATAACTGGATAAAGAAAATGTGATTATATTTGTGTGTGTGTGTGTGTGTATACACACACATATATACATATATATATACACATATACACACACACACTATATATATATAAAACATGGGTGAACATTAAGAGCATACTAGATGACGTAAGTCAGAGAAAGACAAATACTGTAAGATATTACTTGTACGTGTAGTTTAAAAAAGCTGAACTCATAGAGTAGAATGATAGTTGCC